GCTATCTGGTTCAGACGGGCCTTGAACTCACTATGTCGTCCAGGCTGGCCTCGAACTCCTGGTAATCCTCCTGCCTCAGCCTTCTGTGTGCTGGGATTACAGGCATGTGCCACCACGCCTGACTTCTCTCTTCTTTGTGAGGTCTTTGCACGTGCTGTTTGGGCCTTTCTGCCTCACTTCTTCACCCTCTGTGACGGGCCAAATTGTGTTCCTATGAAGTCATACACTGAAATCCTAACCAGGAAATAGGGGCATTGGGGATGCAATTAGTTAAATTAGAATGAGGTCACATGGAGTAGGGTGTCCTTGACTTTAATAAAACCGGTGTGGTATGGAGAAGGTGATATGGACACTGAGTGAGACACGGGAGAGGATGCCCTGTAATTACTGGAGTTGCACTGTCAAAGGCAACGAATGTCATGGATAGTGGGCAACAGTCAGAAGGTGTGGGAGAGTCAAGGGAGAGCTTCACATCTGCTTGCAGAAGGGACCAGCCTTGTCCATACCTCAGTTTGACCGTACAGCTAGAACCGTAAGAAAATACGTTTCTGTTGTTAAGCTGCACAGCTGATGGTACCTTTGTCACTGGCTGGCACGGACTCTTTAGGTGCATGGAAACCAGCCATGGGCTGATTCTTGACCCTGCTGACAGTGATCCCCCGTCTTCTTCAGGGTCCTCAAAGGAACAGATCCCCATATTTGCTTCAAGGTGTTACCAGTTGGGTGAGGGTTCTTGGTCAATTGTATAGGAATCACAAACTGGCAAAATGTAGCTGTCTTGGTGTTGACAGCCTGGACTTTGGATGCCAGCAGCGATCAGCTCTTTAGTGCTAGCTTCCCTCCTTTCCGCTCAAGGTTGGCAGCGACCCATGGGCTTCAGGCACCCTCCCAGCCACCAGAGATGGCAGCCCCCAGCAATCCTCTATCACTCTCCATCCAGTGTTACCAGCTCTGGCAGCTGGCCACTCTCAGCACCAGCAGCCCTTTCAGCGTTACCAGCCCAGCATGCACTGCTTCCGGGAGAACTCAGGCATATACAAGAGTACAGGAATACAAGGCCTGGAAGAATCTCCGTGACAGCGTACGCTGCAGTGCCACGTGAGGGGAGCGATGCATGGCCCGAGGTAGCTTAGATACAGTCACGAGTAGAGGGCCACGAGGGGCAGAGTCACTGGGTTAGGTCCATGCGTAAAGCCTGCTGCAGCCAAAGCAAACATCTCCCTGGTTGGCAGTGGGGTGTCTGATACAAAAGAGGCCTGCTCACAGGCAGCAGGGGCAGCCACAGAATAAAAGTCCCCTTTACGGTACCTGGGCCCCTCTCCTCCGCCTCACCTATTAAGGCAGCCCTAAGAAGTAATATGGCTTCCTGCTTCTCCCTTCAGACCTCCTTGTAGCCAGTACCTGGAGGCTGTTCTTGGCCTCCTCGTCAGGACCACTCACCCACCATTCTCAGGTGCCTTTGCAATAGTAACACAGGCTGGCCCAAGGCTATCGGTGGAACTTGCCATTACCCTGAGAAGCCCCACCCCACCTCCTGTTAAACATACTAAAATGTGTGTCCACATCCCAAGTTAAATATAATTTTGTGGTGTAAACAGTTTGGAAAGAAATTTGTTTTACGAAGTTGTTTTGGAAACTATGAGTAATTAGTTCAATTTTGACAGTTGTTTCCGTCAGCGATCGTTATGTATAGTTTTGTGCACCTGAGAGTTGTAGGAAAGTGAAAAAGGCTAGTCTTACAAATTGTTTTCACATGCTGTACCTTTCCTATAACTACTAAGTGGACTTGCATGTGGCTGACGTTATGTTACATTTTGCAGACACTTGAACATTTATTTGATATTGGCAGTGTCTTTCCATGTTTTAGGCATAATACATTCTTTCAGGACTCAAACTTCTCTTTTTTTGGGTAGAGAGGCTCTTAAGACAGGTTCTTGCAATGTAGCCCAGGCTGGCCTCAAACACACAGTGATCCTCCCTGCTGTACCTCCCGAGTGCCCGGATGACGGTTGTGCACCACCAGGCCCTGCAGGACTAGATCACTTCTGTTGTTCCTGGGAAAGCTTGTGGGCCTTAAGCTCTTCCCTGTGGTACCTGATCAACCCCTCCCCTGGGGGCCCTGCACTTATCTATGTTTTTGGTTTTTGCAGAACTGGGGATGGGACCCAGGGGCTCACACATGCTAGACAAGAAGTCCCTTATCACTGAGCTACACCCACGGCCCCTGTGTGTGCTGTAGGATTTAGCACCTTTGTGTGACTGTGATTTTCTTGTGTTTGCCTTACAAGCCTGGACGTTCCTTGAAAGCCAGTGTGTGCCTTACTTTCCTTTGTTTCCCACCCAGCACAGTGTCTGCCTCCAGCTGGTGTCCAGCAGATTCATTTCATGAGCAAATGAGTAATTGTGTACAAATTCAACCTTTCAAAATTACTGAGTGTGGCAACAGCCAACGTTTATCCTTTACAGATGCCCTGAAGAGCTAAACATGAAACAAAACCCCAGGACACCTTCCTTTTTACAGCTGAGGACATTTATACTACGGCATTCCGGGAGCAAAATCACTCTTGCCCTCATGAGGACAAACCCAGCGCCATCTTGCTCTTCCTAAGAGAAGGGAGCAGAGTGTTAGTGTGAGCTAAGTGGTGGAACTGGGCTCCATCAACCTGGGCCTTTGTGCTGGGCTTAATTTCAAGGAGGTGAGTCTTGGATTGGGTCAGCTTAAGGGTTCAGAATAAAAACTACAGAGCAAAGATCAAGAAGGCAGAAAACATTGACATCACAGTAGTGGGGATGAGCAGCTTCTGGGAAGAAGTCTCAGGAGGGAAGTGGAGGGCGAGGAGGAGACAGCCAGGTGCCACTCAAAAGAAAGTGAGGCTGATGCGCTACAACAGCAGCAAGCAGCGCGCGAGGCGAGCTCACCTGAGTCCAAGCGGTGCTGCGGCTGGGTGTGCTGTGTCTCCTCTGGCCCTCGTGACAGCTCTGTGACCCTGTCCTCACTCGTCCCGTTTCCCTTAAGAAGTTGGGTTTAGAGAGGCGCCTCTGAGGTGGCGGTGAGGTTCTTCCTGCTGGCGATGCCAGAGGTAGGCTTTGGCATTGGTGTGGCCAACTGCCCACACTCCTGTCCTCGCCTGGCAAGTTCTACTTGTGCACCTGGCGCTAACTGATGTCATTTCTGCCTGCTTTTCAGGCTTTTTAAGTGCAAATTATGAGCACAATACTCATTTACCAAATCAATTACTTTTTACATTCATTTCTCTCGACGTTCATTGCAATATTTATGCGAGGGCAGTAACTCCTTGAGTCAAGACCTTCTCTGTTAAAAATATTCTCCAAGGGCTGGGGGTTTAGCTCAGTGGCACAGCGCCTGCCTGGGAAGCCTGAGGCCCTGAGTTCGACTCCCAGTACCAAATATATATATATATATTCAGCATTTAAATGGTGCGTATTGTGTGTCAGGCAAAGTTTTACGTGGTCTGTGTGTATTCACTCCCTTAATTCTTTCAGGAACCTGCCATCAGCGGAGCATCCTAGTGCCCCCACATCTGTGCCATCCTAGTCTGCACAGCTGTGCGTTGTTGAGGCAGGAGGTTAGGGGCGGGACAAAGTGGACCGACAGCTGCATGGGATGTGTCAAAGGTCATCACAACCCAGAGGGCACCCGTAGAACACGAGACCCCAAAAGACTGTGCAACGCCTGCGCACTGTGCACAGATCCAATCAGAAAGCGATGCTTCTCCATCCCTCATCTGAGTCCGGCACAGTTCGCCGGACCAATCAGAAAAGTGCTGTTTCCAATCCTCCACTTACATCTGCCCGAAGCCAAGTGGGTCTTACGGGAAAGGACCATTTAATTCTGGCGCTAGGCCCAGTGAATATTTGATAGGACAACCGTGCCCATGCCTCATTTGCATGAGGGGAGAGCCAGTGCAGGAATTTTAGATACTAAAGGTCCCTTTCCCTTATGCTCAGGCTGCTGTGAGTCTATTCACAGGGCTGCCCTCACCCTGTAGAACAAACTTCTTTTCTATCTTCAATAAATGTATAGTTTAGCTACCTTCTCTATATGTCTTGTCCAATTCTTTGTTCAAGACACCAAAATCCTGTGAAAAATCTACCCTAGACACCCCCACCTGGTAACATTCTGACCCTACTTGTACCCTTTAGTATACCCATTTTACAGATGGAGAAATGGAGGCATGCTGCTACTAAGAGAAATGGTCCTAATTCAGGGTTTAATCAACAGCATGGTAACTATACAATACTTTCAAAGCTTAATGAAATAAAGCCTAATTAATTCAACCCAGTCACCAGGGTAGATGTGGAGGGGTGGTAGAATCTTACACTTGAAAAGTGTTTGAATTATACAATTATTTCTTAGAAAATTTATTCTTCCATGTAAAAGTACATTTACCTAATTAGTTAAGTACTTCTAGACTGACTGGAGGAGCACTGTCAATTCCTCATATAAATGTTGATGTCTCATTTATAGTCAGGAACAATCCATATACTAAAATCCTCAAAAGTAGCTGGCTTTCTTTAGAGGTTAGATGCGCCTCCTCACAAGTTTCTTCGCAAATTAGTCAAAAGTTCACCCTCTTCCAAATAAATGTATTCAGTTCAGGATTGAGTTAAACTTAATCAGATTTAATAATGTCAAAAGGACTGCTTTGGGAAGGCTCCAGGGGGACCTCTTACAGAACAGTGTCCTTGGCTTCTGACTAACTCTCAAGCCACAATAACCCAGGATGTAAACCTGGCTCCCCCTTAGAATGAGAGGCCTGAGGGTCAGTCCTCAGCACTGCAAAAAGTAAATAAACCTGATTCATGACTAACTTTTTGCTTTTGTTTTGTTTTGTTTGAGACAGGGTCTGACCAAGTAGCCCAGGCTGATCTCGAACTCACAGCAATCCTCCTGCCTCAGCCCCCTGAGTGCTGGCTACAGGTGGCCACCCCCACCCCCACCCCCAGCTGATTCATGATTAATTTTGTACAGAATTTTTTTGTGTAGGTTCTACAATTAGCTGCTTGGCTAAAAAAAAGTCCACAGAATTCCAGCTACATTTTTCTGTGTGCGTGTTTATGTTTACTGTTACTGTAAAACCGGCGATGTGTTGTATAATGGTTTCGTCATTGGTCTTCTCCGCCTGTAACATGCACAGGAGCCCCTGGGGAGCTTGTTCCCCATCAGACTTTCTGTAGGTCTAGGGTCTGGCCAGAGCATCTGGGCTTCTAAAATGCTCCTGAGGAGCCCACCCTGAAAGGCAGGGCTCAGCCTTCCAAGGGGAGCCAGGAGCTGGTTCTGGATGGGAACTCTGCTCCACCGCTTATGACATCTTGGTCCTGGGACAAGGTACTTAGCCCGTCTGTGCCTTTGGTTTCTTCATCTGTGGAACGGAGTAATGATAACAGGAGTGATGTCCTAGGAGAGCTGCGAAGATTAGGTCAGTTAATAAACACAAAGCAACTCAAGGAAGAGGGAAGAAACCTGCTCTTACACTGCACATATGGTTGCAACTTGCTTTTTTTATTTAGCAATATATCCTGGGCATCTTTCCATGTCGGTAGAATGAAACCTACCCCATTTCCTCCAGCAGCTAGTATTCAACCATTAGATGTGTCTTGATTCGCTTCGCTCCAGTGACTTTTTTTCTTTTTCAAATTGCGGTAAAGCGCATGCCTAACGTCAGATGTTAGTTACCCTTTTAACCATTTTCAGGTGGACAGCTCAGCGGCAGTAAGTGCTTCTGCACCGCTGTGCAACCATCAGCACCGTCCTTCGCCGGGACTTTTTGCCATGCCCTGCAGGAACACTCCCGTAAGAACAGTGACTCCCCGCACCCCCAGCCCTGGTGGCCTGCATCCCGCTTTCTGTCCTACAAGCTTGCCAGTTCCAGGTCCCTCCCGTAAGTGGAATCAGACAGAATTACCCTGTTGTGCCTCTAGTGGGCTTGGAAGGACTTTCTTTTTTTGTTGCACAATCTGAACTTGAATCCTGAAATCTCTGAGGTGCTGGCTGTGGTCCCTGTCTGAGGTCTGAGCTGCTGGCTATGATCTGAGGCCACCCCTGCCGGCATCGGTTCTGCAATGAAGAAAAACAATGGCCGCTTTCATTCCCTGAGCACCTACTGCAGGCCAGCGCGGTCCTGGCTCCTACGCGAGGCTCCGGGAGGTTGGAAAAATGATCCCATGTTGCAGATGTGGAAATGGAAGATCAGAGAGGCAAAATGACGCATCTGCTGTTAGAAAGAGAAGTGGGGTGGAGACAGGTCTCGTTTCAAAGCCGCGCTCCCTTTACTTCACCTCAGTCCGGCAGAAGAAAAAGCAATCATTTCCAGCATTTCCCAACCACATTCCAATTAATAGGAGTGGAATTTAAATTAAGCAAACCGTATAACTGAAGATGAAGATCCATATCCAAAACTGGGATGTCTTCTAAACAAAAGAATTCACTACAGAACTTCTGAGCAGAAGCTTCTCATGTTTTACTCAATGTCTCAGATAAAGAACATTTCAACCGTGTGTGTGTGTGTGTGTGTGTGTGTGTATGTGTGTGTGTGTGTGTGTGTGTGTGTGTGTGTGTGCGAGAATTAATGTAGCCTGCCTGCTGTTGCCCAGCCTGCTTTATAATGGGCCCTTACCTCAGCAGGATTTTGTTTGCTTGTTTTTGTTTTTGAGGTACTAGGGATTGAATTCAGGGCCATCGTGCTGTGCTGCAGCCCCAGCCATTTGGTTTGTTTTATTTATTTATTTATTTATTTATTTATTTAAATTTTGAGGCAGAGTCTCACCAAATGTTAAATTTACCAGGCTGGGCTTGAATTTGTCACCCTCCTGCTTCAGCCTCCCGGAGCACTGGGATTAGAGGCGGGAGCCACTTCTTCCTAGCTCCAGCCCTGTCCTTGATGCCAGTGGCCTTTCCCTTCAATGCTTCAGAGGGACTGGAAGGCTCAGAGGCAACCTCTGCATGATCCCTGACCTACAAAAAGCAAAACACTGGTTTGATTTCTGCAGCTATTCCCTGGGCAGCGGAACAAGCACATGTGTGACTGCGTACACATGTGCATCCAATTATTTATAGGCCCAGACTCAAATGTTCCACTTAAAAAGAAAAGAAAAACACTTTCAATTTGATGGGAAAAGCCTCTAAAAATAGCCTCTAACTATCATATCTAAAAATTCCTTTTCTCTCCTACGAGGTGTCTTTTGTCTCTTGTTTTTGCCAAAAAGAAAGAGCACTGTGTGTACATCTTGCAGGGCTCTCTTCACTGGCTTGCTGGAGTTGGGGATCATCTCTACCAGCTCACGGGTGCCTTGGCAGCCCCCGGCATTCCTCCCTGCTTCCCCCTCTTAAAGGGGCCACGTTCAGCCAAGAGGAACCACAACTGTGCCGCGGGCAGTGGCTCGGTGGAGGGACCGTGTTGCGATGGTGTGATGTTATGCCCTGGCTCTGTTTGGGAATGTTAGATCACGCTAACAGAACGCCTGACACTGTTACTCCAGCACAGCGTGCAGCCCAAAGCCGCTGTCTTAGACACTGTGAACAGCAACAAGAGGAAAATGATAATATCTACAAGGGCTCTAGGAAAACATATGGGTCACATGGTCAAGATTTTCCACATTTTGATGCTTTTTAGTGACTCGGGTCAAACTATTTAATTTTTCTGCCACCACAATTGGTATCCAACCCCTACACAGTTCCTAAGGGTTTTACTAGTGGACAAACTTCTTTTTTCATTTTTTACTTTATTTTTTGTCTTTTTTGAGACAGGTTTTTGCTATGCACTTTAGGCTAGCCTTGAACTCACTTTGCAGCCCAGGCTGGCCTCGAACTCGCAGCAATCCACCTGCCTCAGCCTCCCAAGTGCTGGGATTACAGGTATGCGCTGCCACACCCAGCAACAAACTTCTGATTCATCATAGTTAAGTTTGAAATTCAAACCATGTGTAGCTCCATATGCTGAATAGCTCTGAAAGATCTGTGAGAAGCAACTCCTTCAACACCACAGCTTTGATACAATAAGGGGTGGAAGGTAACAGCACACCAGGAAATTGGTCTTATTATTCTCCGATTACAACAAAGGCTGTGACATTTTAAACTCTAATTCTATATCAGAAGACCCACCTTAATCTTTGATGCCTTTCTTTCACAGTCAGGGAAGCTTTCCAAGTTATCTGGTTAGTAAGATGGACAGGGCTCAGAAAAATGGGAGGTATAAATAAAGCCATCCTTCCAGTTTTACACACATGCTATTGACTGTCCACTTAGGGTAAGTGAAATGTGTTGCATGTGCATTCTGAGATCCATTGTTTTGGAGCAACTATGATTATTGTAACTGCTAAATTACAATCTAATGCATACTTACTGAACACTTTTGTGCTGTATTACCCTCAAGTCAAGAGAGTGAACGAAACAAAAAAAAAAAAAGAAACACAACATAGTGGCTACCCTTTAAAAAAGGTTTGCAACATCATCCTCCATCCAACTGTCACATCCCTTGTCTTGGTTACTTTTCTCTCCTTGCTGAGACAAAATACCTGACACCCAAATTAAGGAGGGAAAGGTTTATTTAGCTCAAAGTATGTGGAGATTTCAGTCTAATCAGCTGGCTCCCAGGCAGGGTGGCATGGTGAGGGGCAACAGTTCAAGGCAGCAGCAGACTGCAAAAGCAACAAGAGCAAAAGAGGGGAAGAGCAAGCCTCTTTTCCTCCATTATATTGTAAGCAGACTACTCGCCCTTGGGTAGGTATAGCACTCACATAGTCTCCCTGCCCTCCTCTTGCACAGGATATTTACAAAGTATGGACTCTGGCTCCCTGCTGGGTCACTTAAATTTCTAAATTTCTCAGGTTGACACAATGAACAACAGCAAGGGCCTGTCCTCCATACCCTGTCCTCTATACCTTGCTGAGTTACTTAGTTAAGCTTCCAGACTTCTCAAGTTGACACAATGTATCAACCATAACACACCTCTTCAGTGTGGGTGGTTTTTATTACCTAAGTGTGCAAAAGATACAATAAAATCTATCTTTAAAGAACATCTAGTTCAGGAGGAAAAAAAAAATGGCATACTTGGAAAAAGCCAGAGGTCAATGCAAGCAAATGCTGGCAGATGGGTAACAGAGGTGTGTGTAGGGACTGAACTCAGGTCTTCTTGCTAAATTGCCCAGGTGGCCTCAAATTTGCATCTTCCTGCATCAACCTCCCAAGTACCTAGGTTTACAGGCATGCACAAACACACCTGGTAGATTAGAATCTTAAAAGTAAATCTTAAAAGAAAATGGCTGAGCTGGTTATAAGGGACTTCAGTGCAGAAGATACATACCAGCTTGACTCAAGCACAGCACTGAATTCATGCCAGGGAGAAAGGAGTGGGCATTTCAGCTGCGCATGGTGGCTCATGGCTGTAATCTCAGCACTCTAGGAGACTGAGGCAGGAGGATCAAAAGTTTGAACCCAGGTTGGGCAATGCAGCAATGTAGTGAGATCCTTTCTCATAAAGGGTCAGGGGAGGCTGAGGAGGCAGCTCAGGGAGAAGGCACTGGATGCTATCCCGAGAATGGAAAAGAGATGAACTTGGGCAGGGCATGGCGGTAGAATAATAAAGCTGGGCTTGTTTGTTTCTCCTTTTTTTCCCTCTCCTTTAAAAAAAAAATTTCTTCTGTTGCTTCATAGAGTTCATCCTTTATCTCCAGCTAATAAGCTACAGACGTATAGAGTAGCCACTCACACTTTATACCATCTGTTCAGGAAATGGTTTTTACACTGTCTATCATCTTTGGGGGAGAGGAAGGGAATGGTGTTTAACGAGGGAAAAATGAAAACATGAAAATGTGTTCCTTCCCTCCCTACTCCTTTCCCTTCTTCCTGCATGGCTCTGTCCTAAAGTTATAGATGGGACGAAATAAGACAGTCCTTTCATGGAGAAGGGAGACAGGGTGAGTTGCAGTGTGCCACAGCCATGCAGGTGGAGGGGAGCCTTCATTCAAGTGGGAGGTCTGACACGAGGAGTCAGAGCCCTCAGGGTGCAGGGGAGCCATGTATGGGCGTGTTCACTATGTGCCTCAGAGCCGGAGGTGGTGATGGAGGCATTCATACATGGGATGTGTTGGTCCATTTTCCATTTCTGCAATGAAACAGCTCAGGCTGGGGAACTGGTAAAGAAAAGAAGCTTAGCTCATGGTTCGGAAGGTCCAAGAGCATAGTACTGGCTTCTGCTCAGATCTGGGCAGGCCCTTCCGGCTACGTCACAACATGGCACACAGCGTCATGGTGGGAGTGTGTGCAAGGAGATCACAGAGCAAGACAGGAAGCCAGAGAGTAGGGAGAGGCCGGGCTTGCTCTTTATAACACAATCCACGCTGGAGGGAACTCACTGAAGTTTCACGATAAATGCATGGATCCCTCCTGATAAGTGAGTGGTTGTTTGTTTTGTTTGTTTGTTTGTTTTTTGTACCAGGAATCAAACTCAAGACCCTGTGCTTGTCAGGCAGGTGCTTGTGCCACTAAGCTACATCCCTGGCCCATGGATCCCTCCTGAGAACACATCCCCAATGACCTAATCACCTTCTACTGGACCCCACCTCTTAAAAAAAAGAGGTGGCCCCTAATGCTGCCATATTGGGAAATGGGCTTCCAACACATGAACCTTTGAGGGACATACTCAGACCGTATCCAACTCAAAACACAGGCCAGCTTAATACGGGGCATCAAAGCATAACAGATAGAGAGATATCTGTTTATGGATATAGATGGCATGGACATAGAGGACTGATCAAACAAGTTATTGTTTTAAGGCTTTGTACCATCAGAAAAAGGAATCACTAATGTAGAAAGAGAGAAAACTAAGATGAACACTGCTGTGTTAGATTGGAATTGGTTAATATGAATCAAGATTTTTGAGACAGAAAGATAGCTGATGGATGGGTAGCTAGAAAAAGAAACATGAATACGTGCCTTTGCTCGCATATTGGGACAGACTGACAACTCTAAGATGACCTCCAGTTGATCACTTTGGCAGGCGTGGCTCCTCCCCTTGCACCTGTCACTTGGTGGGTCGCTGTAGTAAGAATCTCCTTCTG